AGTCGCTTCTGCACGTTCTTGGCGAAGATGCCCGTCTTGATGTCGGCCATGGCTGCGGGTCCGGGGAGCTGCGAGGAGCGGAGCGCGCAGCGGGGCTGGCGGCGGCGCGGAGGAGCGCGAGGAGGAGGAGAGAAGAGGAGGAGCGGGAGGAGGGGAGGAGCGGGAGAGGCGGCGAGAAGCAGCCGAGCGCGAGGAGGGGTGAGTCGGGCGCGGCGGCGGGACCGGCTTAAAGCGACAGGGCGGAGGCGGGGCCCGTCGGGACTGGTTGTGACACGAGGTGAGCGAGGGAAGAAGCCAGAAGTCAAAATATCCAGATAGTGCCCACAATGATGGAAGAGGTCGGGGAGAGAAAGGGAACGTACCCAAGCCAGCAACCCGGGGCCTGGAGTTGGCTCAGGGGTTCTTTTAACTCCACGTTTGTGTTAAGGCACAGTAAGAGGGACCTGATAATTTCTAGGAAAAAAGATAGGAGGGACAAGGGAGAGGGGAACCCCAGGGTTGTGGAAGCCAGCAGAATGGGAGCTGCTCTAAAGCAGAGGGTGATGGGTTGGTCCCCTGCTACTCCCAGGAGTACTCAACTGATCACCCTGGTCAGAGGCCGTCCCCTCATCCAACCTGAGTGTTCCAGAAGAAAGACTGGACGTCACCCTGCCCTCAGCAAGCTCACAGCCCAGTGAAGGGAGCTGACTGGGAAACCAATCAAGTCACTGTGGGACGCAGAGCTGCAGGAGAGAGGTGGGTGGGAAGGAAAGGAGGGAAAGACCATCCCTGACACTTATTTAAACTTTAGTAAGATGGGGGTGTTGTCCATGTTGAGAAGGGTCAGCTCCTACAAAACAGGTGCTGTGCTTTGGTCATCTCCAAAATTCCGATGCTGAGTAGAAACCCTGGCATAGGCACCTCCCAAGGAATGGTGCATGAAACAGGTCCTTCATAGCCTCACGTTGACCATGGAAGACTAGGCCTCCTAACTTGTTGCTTTCTTGCAACCTTCCTTGACAGGAACTCGTCGTCCCCTCTATGCTTGGCAGAAGTTCCCGTTGAGAGTGTGAGGAGAGGAAAACAGGTGGTCCCCAGCAAAGAAGTGGATCAGCCACCTGAATCCTGTGAGTCCAAATAAGCACCCTATGCACACTCTGGAGGAAACTGTTACATTGGTAGAACCCAGTGAACTTTCCTCCAGTATTCACTCTTGTGTAGTCCTGTAGTCCCCTCAGTCCCCTCACCTTGATTCTAGAATGATGTGACCAGCTTTAATCAATAAAAAATGGTGGAGGTGACACTCTGCCAGTTCTCTCTCTCTCTCTCTCTCTCTCTCTCTCTCTCTTTCTCTCTCTCTCTCTTAATTTTTTATTTTAAAGATGTGGGGTACAATTCAGGGTTAGGTTATACAAATGTTCATTATGCAAGTACCCTTGTTGATGAGGTGTGATCCCCCCCCGCAGATTCCCACTACTGCCAATCCCACCTTCTCCCCCCGACCCCAGCCCACCCCTGACAGTTTCACACTACTGTCAATTCTTTTCTTACAGTATTACGATAATTGTTCAAGTTTCGCTTATGAGTGAGAACATGTGATACTCAGTTCTTTGTTTCTGTGATACATCACTCATAATATTCCATCATGTATATGTATCACCTTTTTTATTTTAAAATTGTGGGGTATAATTAGGGGTTAGATATACAAATATTCATTGTGCAGGCACCCTTGTTGATAAGGAGTGCTCCCCCTTCCCCAGACAGATATCGACTACCGTTAATCCCAACTCCCTGCCCCCCTTCCTCCCCATAGTTTCCCCATCCTTTTCTTATTATGATAGCTGTTTAAGGTCAACTTATGAGTGACAACATGTGGTACTCATATCTTTGTTTCTGTGAAAGATCACTCAGTATTATAAACTCTAATTCCATCCAAGTTGCTGTGAAATTCATGATTTTGTTCTTCTTAATGGCTGTGTAATATTCCATTGTGTATATGAACCACATTTTTTTAAATCCAGTCCTCTTTTGATGGGTAGCATGTTTGGTTCCATGTTCTTGCTACTGTGAATAGTGCTGCGATAAACATACGTGTACAGGTTTCTTTTCCATAGAGTGATTTGAGTTCTTCCAGGTATATTCCCAGTAGGGGGTCTGCGGGATTGTATGGAAGGTCAATGTTTAGATCTTTTAGGAATCGCCACACTGTTTTCTACAGAGGTTATACTAGTTTACACTCCCACAAACAGTGTAGAAGCGTTCCTTTTTCACCACATCCTCTCCAGCATCTGTTGTTTTTTGAGTTATTAATGATGGTCATCCTGACTGGAGTTAGATGGTATCTCAGTGTAGTTTTCATTTGCATTTCTTTGATGACTAGTGAGGTTGAGCATTTTTCCATGTATCTGTTGGCTACTTGTATGTCTTCTTTTGAGAAGTATCTATTCATATTTTTTGCCCACTTTATAATGGGACTGTTAGCTTTGTTCTTTCAGCATGTTTGAGTTCCTTTTAGATCCTAGATGTTAGGCCTTTGTCAGAGATACAGTTGGCAAATATTTTTTCCCAGTCTGTGGGCTGTCTCCCTGCTTTCTTAATGGTTTCTTTTGCTTTGCAGAAGCTTGTCAGTTTGATGAGGTCCCACTTGTCTAGCTTATCTCTTATGGCATGGGAACTTTGGGTTTTGATCAGGAATTGGTTGCCAATTCCCATTTCCATAAGGGTGTCTCCTGCATTTTCTAAGATTCTTATAGTTTGAGGTTTTACATTTAGGTCTTTGAACTACTTAGAGTTTTTTATGTATGATGAAAGGTAGGGGTCTTGTTTTAATCTTCTGCATGTAGTCAACCAGTATTCCAAGCACCATTTACTGAATAGGCGCTCCTCTCCCCAGTGGTTAGAGGTGGAGGCTTTGTCAGAGAAGAGTTGGTTGAGAAATTGAGGTTTTGTTTCTGGAATCTCTGTCCTGTTCCATTGGTCTATATGCCTATTCTTGTACCAATACCAGGCTGTTTTGATTATTGTAGCTTTATAATAAAGTTTAAAGTCTGGGAATGTGATACCACCCACTTTTTTTTCTTTTCTGAGGATTGTTTTGACTATTCATGGTTATTTATGTTTCCATATGAATTCCTGTATTGTCGTTTCCAGGTCTGAGAAGAATGCAGCTGGTAATTTAATGGGTATTGCATTAAATCTGTAGATTGCCTTGGGTAGGATGACATCTTAACAATGTTAACTCTTGTAATCCATGAGCATGGAATATTTTTCCATTTGTTTGTGTCATCTTTGATTTCTTTGAGCAATGTTTTGTAGTTTTCATTGTAAAGGTTTTTCATATCTCTGGTTAGGAAGATGCCAAGGTATTTGATTTTTTGTGTGTGTATGACAACTGTGAATAGGATTGTGCTTTTTATTTGGGTTTCTGTTTGTTTATTGTTGGTATATAGAAATATGACTGTCTTTTGCACATTTATTTTATACCCTGAGACTTTGCCAAAGTCCTTTATCGTGCAAGGAGGTTTTTGACAGATTCTCTTGGGTTTTCGAGGTATAGCATCATATCATCTGCAAAGAGGGATAACTTGACTTCCTCTTTTCCTATTTGGATCTCCTTTTCTTGTCTGATTGCTCTAGCTAGGACTTCCAAAACTATGTTGAAAAGGAGGGGTGAGAGTGGGCATTCCCCTGTCAGTTTTCAGGGGAAATGGTTTCAATTTCTGTCTGTTTAGTAGTATGCTGGCTGTGGGTTTCTCATAGATGGCTCTTAATATTTTGAGGTACAGTCCATCTATGCCTAGATGCTTGAGGGATACTCTGCCAGTTCTAGGCCGCAACCTTGTGAAGCCAGGCAGGTTTCACACTTTTAGGAGGCCTGTGCTACCTTATAGGAAATTCAGCTACCCTACTGAAAACACACACACACACACATACACTCACACACCAAGGAGAGGCCACACAGAAAGGGAGAAATCCTGAGATTACTTGAAGAACAGGAGAAGCCAAGACATCCTAGCATCCCAGCAGTGCCCAGCCTCTAGCCAACTCACTGACTGAATGCAGCCATACAACAACCCTCAGCAAGACCAGGAGAAGATCCCAGTCAGAATTCGGAATGGTAAGCAAACAAAATAGTAGTTGTTATAAGTCATCAACTTTTATAATGGTTCCACTATGACAAAATACACCAGATATGTTCTGAAGAGTATCAGTCTATGCTCACTCTTATACAATGAGCCCCAGAATCACCTCTGCTCAGGCACTGAGCCAGCTTCCTCTGAAAGTATCACTGCCCTGTCTCCAACAGGCAAAAAACAAAAGCTCCAAGTAGCAGATTTACTTTTCTTTTTCTTCTGTAGCACCCAAGCCTTCAGTCCCCACAGTACTGGCCTTTGTCTCTTGTGCAGTTATCACTCCCACCCACATTTTTGGACTCAACAAGTATCTTTTAAAATAAAATTGCAAATGGTTAACTTTTCTTATTTCTCAGATGCCCAAATCTAATTCTGTAATGTGGGTGGCAAAGGGAGGCTTGTCATTTCTTGATAATTCTATTTTGAATACATGCAGAGCATATTAAAAAGTTATTATGTGTGCAAACTGTTATCAAATTGTTTCACTCCATGCAAGAGGCAAATCAGTATCTGTTTTTGTGTTGCCATGTGGCTCATT